TTAGCTAAGCAAGGGGTAAATAGGGAAGAATTATTTTGGGCTCAGTTGTGATTATTGTTTTTCTTTCCTAGTTTACTTGTAAGACTCAAGGAGGGGCTGCAGCTCRTGCCTYTCGYTGGGATGATGTATGAACTCACTCTAAAGTTGCTTTTGAATCAATAAACTGATTATTATTCATCATAAAAAATAGAAAATGAAAACAGGAAGGCACATAGTTAGAATTGAGAGGAAAATAAGATGAAATTTCAATGTGAATTTTTGATAGTAAGACAAAAATTCATTTGTTTTCTTGATGTGGAATTCATACAGAGACTTCACACCAAGAAAAGAGGAATCTTGCAGGCTGGTCATTTCCATTCCCAAAACAAGGGAAGTTAATCCTGTATCACATTCTAGAAACATTAAAGAAAGTATCCCAAATGATGGTAAAAAAGAAAAAGTAATTCAAGAACAGATAAAACAGATACCCTTCTTAATAGGGTGCATGACCTTTTATCTTCCTTTTTTTCTTTTCTTTTTTTTTTTTTTTTTTTGCATGTATGGAGATGATAACTGATGAAAGTAAAAGAGCAAAAGGTGGAAATGACAGGATATACAAACAAATCAACCTTAATCCCAGTTATTTGTGTTCCAGTACATAAATCCTGTCCTACCATTTTGCTCTATAAAGAGCCATGCTTTCTATCAAATATAATTTTTTACCGGTTCAGACCACATCTTCTTTGGTCTCTCCTTTCTTAGAACCTTCTAGTTGCACCAATTCATTCTTTCTCACTTGTGTAGTCATGGTTCGTCTATAACATGACAAAACCATTTTGGTTGACTTTCCCTCATGTTAACACTAATTGGAACTACTCCTAAGTCCTAAGCTCTCTCCAATGCATTCATTCTGATTATGTCTTTTTAGTCTTGTCACTCATCCATCGCAACATTCTCTTTAATTTCCCCTGCATAATGGATGATTGATCTAAGCCACCACAAATGGACAGTTTGGAGCATCTCCCGATCATGAATCTTAATTGAACCACCATTGTTACTATATCTATAAAATTAATGCAGAAAAATAGGACAATCATCTATTAATGCCTGTATGCAGTTCCCTGAGCTCCCAACGCCAAACCATAAACTACCGAAAACCAAATTCAATCACTTCGAGCAAACCAACTACGGCAAAATCAATTGTCTAAACTTGTAAAACCTCCAAGGCAGTTAGCAAACGAGAACAACAAGAAAAGAAAACAAGAGAAGCCGCTCGTTGTTGACAATTAGGGCTTTGAGTCCTCTACAAAAAACGACAAGCTTACTGAATAAACAGCACTACCTCTTAGGAGTGAACCACGAAGGCTTCGGAGTCGATTCGACAAGCTGGGATCCGGCCATTTCTGTGTCGAGAGGAGCAACCACCGAAGAAATGCTAGGATTTTCTTCAGAGGGCTTGGACGGTTCTTCTCCCATAATAGTATTAATGAAGGCTTTACTTCCGGTATAAGGAGGCTTTCTAGAAGTCCTCCTGTTTTGCCTGGAATGGTTGTTGGGGAGCTGTCGCTCTCCCACGTTTCGTATCGGTTCGCGTTTGTCACTTTATTTTTTTAGTGTTACGACTTACGAGTTTTCACTACTTCTCTTTACCGGGGTTCTTATTTACGGCGCCGGCGGACTCCGGCGATAAAATCGGAGTAAATACATACGGTGGTGGTAGGTAATAGGATATTTCGACTTGTCAGTTGGGATCTGATTGCATCGTTATCTTCCGTGTTGATTTGGGAATCCGGACCCTTCGATTGCAATTTTCATCGTTATCCGTGGTCAGACATACATCATACAAGTCAGGTAATGGGGGGCCCGGAGGATAATATCGAAAAGGAATTTGTTTAATTAGAATATTTTATACTCATGTCAACACAGTTGCTGGTTTGCCCGAGAGGTTAAGGGGGAAGACTTAAGATCTTCTGCACATAAGTGCGCATGGGTTCGAACCCCATAGCCAGCAATTAAATACACATTCACTTTTAAGCTGTTTAAATACTCTAACAAAACGCTTCAAATGCTTTGTACACATCCGTCAGCCGCACATCATTGGGAACATCTGATTTTTTTTCTTTTTTCTTTTTTTTTTTTTTTCTAGGAACATCTTCTGAATGGATTCGAGGAGTTTGGACCTGTTGGGACTTGGCAGCGTTTGGTTGGTAGTATATCTGATTATCTTAACTCTTCTAACTTTCAGATTCTAACATTTTAACCCTTGCCATGTTAGCGGTATTCGAAAATCCGATTTTGAATTTGATATTCGACATAATCGAATTTGGATAATTCGAATATCTAATCGGTCAAATTTGAATATCCTATTTATACTGAATAGTTAGTCGGGTTCGAATTCGGATATGACCTTATTCGATTCGATAAATATCCAAATTTGACCAATTAAATAATTTTTACATTTATATACTTTATATCAATAAAATATTTATTTTATATATTTATTAATTATCTAAAATAATTAATTAATTGAATTCAAATCAAATCAAATATTTGAATATTTAATCAGATTCGAATTCGGATATTAATTTTTAATATCCGTCGGATATCGAATCAAAATTGGATATTGGATTTTCTAATTGGATTTGAATTCGGATATTGCCTGATCTGATTCGAATTCGACCCGTTTACACCCCTATTAAGTTCTACGTTCTTATATATTTACCCTATCATTTTGTACTTTCCTCTTTTATTTGTATGCAATTTATGTATTTTTCAATTCCCTTTTTGTAGTTTGTTTTTATTTTTATATTTCCACTTTATTTGTATACTTTCTTTTTTTGGGTAATTTGTTTTATTTTCTTCTTTTTTCTTCGTTTTGTCATTGTATTTCTTATATTTTGTACATTTTCTTACTATGAAGAAATTATATGATGTACCATATTACTATAATTCCTATTGTATTTTATCTCTTATTTTATTATTTTCTCTTCAGCCTTGCAAGGGCCTGTCTATAAATTCTTTAATTTCATTTTCTATATAAAGGACCCTTGGGGTAGGGTCAATGTATCCATTTCTTCACCCCAGAATTCTGTATTCTTCCTTGGGTTTGTTGACATGGCATCAAAGCAAGCTACTCTTTAATTTATGTTCTTTCTTTGCTCTCTTGTTAGCCATATTAGGGGTATTGTTTTATGGGTGTTTTGATTGGTGTTAAGGTTGTGCTCTTCAACCATAATCCTAGTTCTTTGTGGAGCTTTCTGTCTGGTGTTAGGGTTGTCCCCAGATTCTTTTTTTTTTTCTCACTCAAAAAATCTGTGGGATCTGAAAAAAGTCTTGGGGAGTTATGACCTTCTCTTCTAGGCAGCAACAACCTTCTTTCTCCTACTGTGAACTGGTTCCTCTAGGGCGACAATAGCCTGGCTTCTTTATCCTTCATCAGCACCGGTTTTTTAAACCTTTCCTTTTTTTTTTTTTTTTTTTTGGGGGGGGGGGGTCTTATGCTTTAGACTGAGGAACTTCAATAGACATAAGGTCTTCTCTTCAAATACTTTGGAAAACTTTTCATTTTGGGTTGGTGTATCTCGCTATTGTCTTAATCAACTATTATCAGTCCTTGGAACCCTAATTTGCATTGTCCTAGCTCTGTGTTGTTATGGGTTATTTATTGGAGGATTTTGATTCATCTATAAAGTTTTCTTAATGAAGTTGCTCTGGAATGGTGTTGTCTACATTTCATGCTCCAAACCTGATATTAATTATTTTCTTTTAAGTAATAATGTGTTCGGATGAAGCAATTCACTACCTAGTTCATTACTAATTTAAGCGCCCTAATTAACATTGCAAACATTAGTGTTGCTATCCTTTTCCTTAGGTTGATTTTGCTTATTTATGATGGCTGAAAAGATTGACTTTTTTCTTGTAAAATTTGATGGAAATAAATGAAATATGTGGAAGTTCCATTTTGATTTCTATGTTGAGGGAAAGGGACTTGAAGGTTACTTGAATGGGACTGTATGTAAACCTGATGAGGCTGGTAGTAAATTCTATACACAATGGAAGCTAGGCAACGGAAAGTTAGTCTCCTAGATTTTGAGCTCCATTGTGCCTCATATTAGTGCTCCCATGAGAAAACTAAGGACTGCCTATGAAATGCACTCCTATTTGAAAAAGGTTTATCATTAGCCCAATATGTCACGACAGTACTAGATTAAATCTGAAATCTTTGTCTATTACTAGGATACAAAAAGATACAAGAGTAATATGTAGGCTTTATTGATCTCTCGGCTAAACATGAACTAGTTCATGTTGAACCGTCAAATTCCGTTGAGTGTGTCAAGTATTTGTAGAAGCATTTTGAAAATAGAAAAGTGAACCTGTTTCTTATGGGGCTAAGACCTGAGTATGAAATAATCAAGTCAAATATTTTGAGTAGATGAACTCTTCCAAACTTAAACTCTATGATGGAAAAGTTATTGAGGGAAGAAACTAGACTCCTAACTATTACTACAAACATATAAGGGAAACATCTTGATTCAGGGATTGATATTGTTTTTCTTGCACGAGGGAATAAGAAATTTGGTGGAAAAGACCCTTCTAAAACTCAATGCTATGAATGTAAAGGATATGGACATATAGCTTTTCATTAGGGGTGGCCACAGGTCGGCTCGGCTCGATTTAAACCAAGCTTTGAGCTGAGCTCGAGTTTGATATATAGGCTCGTTTGCTAATCGAGCCGAGCTTGAGCCTAGTGAAGCTCAGCTTGTGAGGCTCGCAAGCCTAGTATAATAAATAAATATTTTTTTATTATATACATACATACATACCTACATATACATGTATATATAAATAATTTTTATTTGATATAATGATATTTTTATATTTTATGTATAATAGTAAATAATTTTTATAATTCTTAATTTTTTGTATGTAAAATAAAAATATTTTTATATGTATATTTTTTATTTTTTAGAACAAAACTTGGCTCACAGTCGAGCTCGAATTTGCGAGCTTTGAACTGAGCTGAGCTTAACACAATTTCAACGAACCAAGCTCGAATAGCCAAGTATTCAGCTTGGCTCGACTCAAATCCACCCCTACTACAAAAAAGAAGAATACCTACATTTATTGCAAACAATACAGACATATCATTCTAGAGTGCCCAATTCGTCCACCCAATGATCCCATGAAAAAGAATAAGCCACAAGCTTATCAAGCGTTTGAGGGACAAGTGTCCGATACCTCTATTGCCAAGGGAGAATCCTCTGGTTCCTTGAAAAAGGAAGAGATTCAACAAATGGTATCCTCTTCTGCCTTTTTTGCTATCGACCTATTTGGTGAGTTCTCCAGTTATTGCTCTATTCCTTCTCACATTTGGACAATTGATTATGGTGCCACAAATCATATAATCAGTGCCTATCCAAAACCCTCAAACAATTTGTCTGAGACCAACCATAGACATATTGTCATTGCTAATAGTGAGAAACTTGATATCATTGGGAGTGATGATTTGTGTATCAAACTTTCCCCCTCAAATTCCTTGTCCCTTGCTAAAACTTTCCTTGTTCCTAAACTTGTTGTTAACTTTATTTCAGTGGGCCAACTAGTTAATGAAGGTCACATTCTGACCCTTTTCCTTTGATGGTTGCTTGATTCAGGACCAATGCACTGCGAAGGGTGAAAGGGAAGGGGCATAATATGGGCCGCTTGTTTGCGTTGGAGTTTGAGAAATCACAATCAGCATGATCATTTACTTGAACTCTTCTACATTGAGTCCTGTTTTGAGTTAGAGAATATATGTCTAGGACTTATGGCACAAACGTTTGGGTCACTCAAATATTGAGAAACTTACATATTTATTTGAACATGGTTTTATTAAAACTAAAATTCCATTTATGAAATCATTTTATACATATCGTGTTTCTTGTTGTTTGAGTAAGGGTCGTATTTTACCATTCACTTACCGAGTTGAACATGCTATTTCATCTTTTAAAGTTTTATTCATAGCAATGTTTGGACTTCATCTATTGTTTCTTGAATGGGATACAAGTATTTTGTGCTATTCATTTATGACTATGCCAAGTACACTTGGTTATACTTTCTCAAACACAAGTTAGAAGTTTTTTCAACCTTTCGATTGTTTCATAATATGGTTCGAGTTTGGTTTCAAGCGAATGTGCAGACCTTAGGCTCAGCCTCAAGGGGAGAATAAAGTGATGGAGAATTTTTGGTTTATTTGAAACATCATAGTATACAGGTCCAACGATGTTGTCTAGACACTCTTCAGCAAAATGGTGTGGTAAAAAGAAAGAATGACCACATTCTTAGTGTTGTAAGGACTCTTCTACAAGAATCACATGCGTCTCCCACATTATGGGTAGAGGTCGCTAGCATGATAGTGCATCTGATCAATTGCATCCCATCTTCTATTCTTGCTAACATATTTCCTCATCAAAAGATGTTTAGATCCCCCCCCCCCCTAGATCTTTCCCATCTTCATTATTTAGGTGTCTATGCTTTGCTCATCTTCCCCCTTGTGAACATTCAAAACTTTCAGCTCAATATGTCATGTGCGCTTTTATGGAATATAGCCCTAACCACAAGGGATTCCTTTGTTATGATCATTCGGCACATCGTATTCATATTTCTCGAAATGTG